GTTTATATTTTTTCTCTCATCCTTTTAAAAGAATGCAGACATTTCACATTTGAATAAAGCGAATATAATGGGAAGTAGTTGAAGCAAGGAAAACATAAAGTGCAAAAAAAGACTGATTTTTGTCACACGAAATGTTTCTCTTGCCTTAAACTTAAAAAAAAGGATCAGGAGGAAGGTTAAATAATGTTTGAGGTTTCAACATCCTACACTTAATTTAAGTGGACTCTTTTTAATTTTAATTTACAAATACACTAACTCCTCTTAACAGTCTACATTTATCAATTATAAACTTAAGCAATTGTAATTTGACCATAAAATTTTTAATCGAAAAAGCTTCCTATAGTCATTTATTTGAATATCTTATATGTGTCTTTTATGTGTCCTATAGGTAAATGCTCAAACGTTTTTAAAAGGGCAGACAATTTTGTACGCAGTAATCAGACTTAAAAAATAACTTCATTAGACTTAAATTACTCAAAAATTTCTAGATAAATGACCATTAGTCTTCACCACATATCAGTAATAAGTTAATACTTTCGTCTGTAATTTCCTTTAGAATTTGCGATAAAATAAGCATTGTTTAAACTAACATTGAGTGTGGGAGCAGAACAATGATCTTGTTAGAAGTCCTTAGCCTTTAATTTGAAATGGATCGTTATTATGTCTAGTGGGATAAGCAGGAAAATCCCATGTATCTTTGTAAGAACTTTAAAATAGAAAAACATAAATATAATACATGTTGTAGCCAAACCAAAACTATTCACTTAGTAAAGCAAACTAGAGTGCTCCAAGGAACGCATGTGTCGTCTACTTTTTAGCATCATTCAAGATGTAAAAAAAACTCAGCTATGTTAATGACCGATATAGAAAACGTGACATTTGCGCCGTTTTAATATGTATTACTTATTCAAAAAAAAAATTAACAAAGCAACTGAATACTTGTAGAAAATGTAATGTAGCTATCAATAATGGATAGGACTAGGGCGTAGTTATTACCAGTTATATCACATGTATCGCTGTTTGTCATGTGACTTGTATAGAATATAGAATTGTTAAGCTGAATGTAGGAAATGAGCATAGTGCAAGGGCATACGCTTGTCTATCAAGAAAAAAATTGATACACATTAAAAGATTTTTTTTTCCTCTACCCAAAAAGTGCTGGGAGCTAGTCAGTACTGTTTGCGAAGTACTGAAAATTTTGCCGAAAATGCTTATAATAGCTAAAAATTTTCCCTTCGCTTAAATTCTGTTATAAATAAAAATATGGTTATGCATTCCAGTGTCTGCTCCTATACTATATAAGCAATAAATATTCCATATTTCAGCTCAAAAAACATTTTCTATGCCTTTGCACTTCTGATGTAAATAACAAATACGCTCATCATTTTAGCGATATTCTCTATATTCCTTGTGCAGCACACATCGTCAGAAACCCACGGGTGATCTCGTCTTTACTTATCACCCGTGGGCAAACTCGCTAAAATATCACCGTAAAATATGCTATTTTGTTGTTTTTAGTCAACCAATCAAAAAATTGAAACTCTTCAATTTTGAAAATACGTTTATTACTTTGCTATTTATGGTAAATATTTTGACTCTCGTTAAAACGTGCGAAGTTTGATTTAGAACTATGAAAGTCAATTCGTACAGGTCACTGACATTAATATCCGTCAGATATTGTATAGGAGTACCTCTTTCTAACTTCAAAATGCACCGTTGAGTGGAATTATCAGCTGTGTTAGCTACGAAATGAGTTTTTCATTTTTTTCGGCAATACCGAACATGCAAACGCACATGTAACGTGAACTGTAATTCGTTGTATGGAATCGCGACTCTGTGAAGCGGCCAATCAAATGAACCATGCATATTTAATTACATACGACGATTTTTCGGAAAGTTTGCCCACGGGAGATAAGTAAAGACGAGATCACCCGTGGGTTTCCGACGATGGCAGCTCCATTGCTACTAGATAAATTTATGTTGTATACACATTGTATTTAATAAATTATTTCCTTTTGAAAATTAGCAATGATATAATATTTATTTAAGCATTCTTGACATAATTGAACAAGTGAATCTAGTCCTCTGGATCACCTGTACTGCGTCATATCAAGGCTGATGACGTCATCTTTGACGAAAGATTTTCTTCTATTACTCGAGTATTGCAATTTTACATGATTTTATAAATAATTGATAAAATAAATAAATTAAAATTGCTATTTACGCATGATCATGTCGTTAATTAATTTTTGTGGCTTGTTAAATTTCAATGATGTCCCAATTAAACTTCCAATACGGTATACAAGGAATATGAACTCTGACCTTCCTTAACATAGCTGAGAAATATATGAGTAATCAGCTTTTTATTTAAATTGTACATCTATAAAGGCTAACCATGAGAAATCAACGGAAAATGGGATCTTAAAAAAAAAAACTGGATTTGTTTTTATTTAGCTATTATATTATCACAAAACTTAAAGACTTAAAGAAAAGTATAATATAACTCACTCTGTACAGTATTAAGTTTTGTCCCAATGATGAGAGTCACGTTATGAATACATAGTACATGAACTGAATGTAGGCCATAAACAAATTGCAATGTCGCAAGGGCTTAGTTGAAATTAGAAATTCAAGCTATAAATTGTTTCTACACACTTTGTACTTTTTTGAAAGTGTTGCTGCTTTTAATAGTTAAAATTTCAAGTTACGAGGGGCGTTCAATAAATAATGTCATCAGGGCTCGAAAAGAAACAAAAATCGCTTTTCTATGATTTTGTCTTAATGATTTAACTAAAATATTCTCTTTTAATTACAAGACATGTCCGTAACATTTTTATTCAATTTCTAATTTTGTTTAGAACACAGTTTAGAGTATGACCCTTCGTATACTGGAAAATGGCAGATCCTATGATTTGCTGTGCTTGTTTTTTTCTTTCTGAAAGGTGTTTTCCTAAGTTTGGGAAATGAAACAAATCAAAGATTGAAAGATCTGGCAAATATTGTTGATGTGACAAAACATTAACTTTCTGTTTACCCCAAAACTCCTTTACTCTTCATGGCCTGTGGATTTGGACGCTGTCAGGAAGAAATTTAATGTAGTGAATTCCTCATTCTGTTTCCTTCATCTCATAAACCTTTCAATTTTTTGGCAAATATTTTGCTTTCTAGACTCCTCCATAAATTGAACTGCCTCTCTATATATGTATTTGAACAACAAATTTTTGATTTTTTTAAAAATAATTGTTTAGATTTTCTACACGCTCTCGTTTTCACTCATATTTATAAATATAGGGTGACATTTGCGTATTAAACTTTTTCACAATCAAATGTTTCTTTAAAACAGTGTGAACTACCCCCGATATGATGACTATCAAATTTACTATGTAACTTAAAGTCAATAAAACATAATCTGTGATAATTTTTTGAATTATCGCTAATATACATTAGTTGTTGTATGTCCTTGTTGACAAGGAGAGTACCCATTTTTGATGACCATTATATAATTTTTATTAATTGAAATCCACCTGTTAAAGTGTGTATGAAACAAACATAAGTTGCTGTAAATTTCACATATTTCAGTTAATATATTTTTGGGAAATTAACAAGGTTTACAGCAGCTTTAATTTACTGATTCTTGACCATTCATTTTTAACGCAGTGTCTCGAGTAGCCCTTGTTTTCCAGCTTCCCACAATGAAATTATGCGATGAAAAGTGGTCACATAAACTGTTTTCAATTCATTAAAGATTCAATAATTAGAAAAAGTCAAGCTTAATGTCATATGATTTCTATGTTGTATGTCATGGAGCTGATGACATTATTTATTGAACGCCCCTCGTAATAGGACCTTGTCGATATATTTTGAATACATGTACTTATAAAATCACGCTCTTGGTTTAAAGAAAGCATGCAGCAACCCTATTCAATTAAGGAAAATATGTCTTATTCAAAAAAAAGGTTCTTCAGATTTAATTAGTGTATGCCCTTGCAAAAGAAAGATTTAATGAAGCATATAGTGTAAAATATACCTAACCTGTACATAAAAAACGAAAATTTAATTAAATACATTCTCTCCATGGTTAATAAATAATTGCACTAAACAAAGGATATACATTGGTATAAATAGTTGAATTTGAACCTGTAAATGCCATTCTGTTTAATAATAAAACGAATTTTACAATTAAAAAAAAATCTTCAATCTGCCTCTCATAGCACATGAAATACGTCAAGTGACGTCATGTTGACAAGTTCATTGTGATCAGTAATTTCTTTACAACCAGTTGTATGGAATTTAACTGGCAATTTTTAAGTGCCTCTAAAGGTTTTATATTAAGCCTAGCCTGCTTCTTTAAGCCTTAACAATGCTACCTTTATCTCAGAAAAGACTTTGGGAAATGTAAATATTTACTGTCAGCAAGATGGTTCCTGCATTTGCCTACAAAGAACAATCGATATCCATTACTGCAAAAAAAAATATGAAAATCAAAGAAATTATGGTTCCCAACCCCAAATGAATACTTGAGTTGGTTTTCATGATTCATTACAAGAAGTTTGTACCATAGAAGTATTTTAGTCAATATTTCAAAAAACATGTACCGGTATTAGAATGCCAGGTGTTTTAGACTATAAATTCAAATTAAAGTATGAAAAAAATGTTGAATTCAATACAACCACTGATGTTATTTCAAGTCATTTAATTAATTAGACCCGCCTTCTTTTCGATTTCTTAGCAAATGTATCCAATCAGATAAGGAATTGATAAAGAATCTGTTTACAAAATAACTTAAATAGTGAAAAATGGATATCGCTTATCACAACTCAAAAAGAGGAGAAAAAGTAATGATGTATAATTACTGTTACATTGTTTTATTCTGGACCTTGGTTGCTCCTTCACTTAGGCTTTCCGAATCAGTGTCGAAACGGTATATTGCTCAATTAGATAAGAACAACGTTTTAATTAGAGAAAATCTTTTGGAAGAGTATGACGCATATTCAGTAACCATGTGTGCAGTCAAGTGTGGTCCAGGTTGTACGTATTTTGGCGTCAATTTGCACGCTAATAAATGTCGAGTTTACTCGGGATGCCAGCCGGGTAACTTAACAGAAGTTGTAGTAGGATGGAGGTACTACAATCTGGGATCTGAAGGTATTTCATTTCAATTATAATAAACGTAACGAACATAACGACCTCCGCTAAATATAATTTATTGCAGCTACTGAATAATATGAAACGTTTAATGAAAATAAGATATGATAAAAGAAAGGAAAAGAAAATAAAAGTTATAGACTATACACCGCCCCTATGCATGAGGACTATAGGAAATTCACAATAGTGAATAATTTTACTGAAAACTGAGATTTTTTAAAAATATTTTTCTCTAGTGATTTAAATGTGAAATAAATTTTGAATGTCTAATTATTAATTATAATCTTAGATTTTATGATTTGATACGGCCTTATATAAATAGCTGGAAAAGACCTGATTGGACTCGAAAGATTGAAAAGAGTTGCAGCTTAGATACACATTCCTATGCATAAATATTTATATTTCAAGAATGTTTTCTTTAGCTCCATTTCCTTTATAATTTTAGGGAATAAATGTCCACTGAATTGTAAAGCGTTGCTCGCTGATGGCCATACAGTGTCTACTGTTTACACTATTTATCCCCGTAACAACCAATGGTCAGTAAACGTCCAGTGTGATATGACCACAAAGGGTGGAGGATGGACGGTCAGTTTAATTATTATTCTATCAATTAGTGCATGGATTTATAACTATTGTTTTAATAACATTAATGACAATTCTTAATCAATCCCACAGATTATACAAAAGCGTGTTGACGGTTCAACCGATTTCAGCAGAACTTGGAATAAGTACAAGGAGGGATTTGGTTCAGTTAACTCATCTTATTGGTTGGGTATATGCATTTTGGTTTACTTTAGTTTAAGTATATGTGAAATTCAGTAGAGACATATACTTTGATCGTTTCGATTTTTTTTTACATATATAAAATGTGCATGTTCATGGCTGTCTTTTATAAATCAGTTATTTCTTATTCCTCTATAGGTTTACGTAATCAATATTACTAAAACATTTTTTTAGGAAATGACGTCATTCATCTGTTAACCAAAAATAAGTCGTCTCTCTACGTGTCCATTACTCTGACAAATGGAATCACACTTTATCAACAATACGGGGAGTTCTCCATAACCAACGAGACAGACAACTACAGACTTTACCTGAATGGACCGACCACAGGAACACTAGGTTAGATTTCGGTATAATAGCTCACCTCAGCAGAACGATCAATTGAGCATTTCTGATCTGAGAGTGTCTGGCGTCTGTTGTCTGTGAACGTTTCACATTTTCGTCTTCCTCTCAAGAACATATGAGCCAATTTCAACCAACTTGCCACAAAACATCCTTGGATAAGGGGATTAAAGTTTCTCCACAAGATGTTCAACGCATCCTTTTCAAGGGAGATAATTAAGATTCTGTAACAATTTGGCAATATCATTTAAAAAAACTTTTTCAAGGACAACTGGGCAAAAAAGAATAAAATGACTGAAGCTATATTTATTTCATAGCAGACTTGAACATTTTTATTCAATATGATTTATACTTTTGAAAATAATTGAATATTCATTACGTGCATTTATGGTATCCGCTGTTAAACAACGCTATATGACGGATACGCACCCTCACTTATTTTTAAACGCTTTCCTTCGTTTAATTACTGTAGAAGCATAAATTTTCGTGGGGATAAAATTTCGTTGATTTGTCATGAAAAATAATTTCGTGAGCATTTAATTTCGTTGTTTTGAAAGTAACCCTATTCAATATATAGTCATATAAAATTTCGTGTGGGATTTAATTTCGTTGATAATTGCTAACAACGAAATAAAGGAAATTAAATCCCCCACGAATATTTGTGCTTTTACAGTATAAAATATTGCGCGAACATGTTCGCATATTTCACTTCCTTTAAGAATTTTTGGTACCAATCGTTCACTGACATTTTCATTAATTAATTCCTCCGGAAAAATTCTTTGAGCAGTAGCATACGACAAACTTATAATTTCACATATCGATTTGACCGTCTGTTTTGTTTTTTTTTATAATGACAGGCGCCATTAAATATTTTCGTTTATCCCTCTCATCTTTCTGTTTTCTTGTCATCTGCTGAGCATTCATTGACACATCACCCACTGAAAATCACTGAAACCATTCATCTAAACAAGTCTCTTATTTACATTCTTTCCTCTGTAAGTCTTGTGAATCAACCTGTCTCTACTAGTGATTTCGACATTGTGACGCAAAAATGCATAACAGTTTATTTTATCTTTTTTTTTTACATCTCCTTATATCAATGCATCTGAGTGTATGCCTACCTTTTCAATTCTGTACTGGTTTCTGCTTCTTCCCAGCCAATGTGTGTAAGTGAGCAAAATTGTCCATGAGCTTCTTGTTATGTACCTATTTGTGTTTCATCCCAATTTACTGTTGATTTTACGCGATCATGTGACGATGTGATCCAAATTCTCGGATCTCGACACTTTGGTTTTCTGAATCCATATCACAACTCTCTGCAATTGATGAGGTATATGTAGTTCACGGTATACATGACGGTTTTCCTTTCGCGTGTCAAATGTTCCTTGAAAAAATGCTTTGTTTAATGCAGAAAAAGATTGACATTAATCACAAAAGTTTTGTGCTATTATAGTTGCTAACTGAACAGGGGTAAATAATATTTTTTTCATAATAACAGTAAGTTGATCCGAAGAAAAGTATCGCCTGTCAACTTTCCTTAATAATACTCTCTGGGACCGAGTAACTGTTATTATAATATCTGATTTATTTATTCAACCGGTTGTTTAACATACTGTAGATTCCTTATTTTTCGCGAGTACTTTTTATCGCGAATGGGCTCTTCAACGTCAAATCACAAAAATAATAATTCGCCAAAGGACTGTTGGTCAACAGATTTAACATAGTTTCAGCACCATAAAAATAAAGGCGAGTAATTTTATTTGGCGTCCCTTCTCGCGAAATTACGAGATTGTTTACAGTTTGTGCTGACCATGGGAAATTATACATCAATTTGGCACAATATTAAATGTTAAATTCTATAAAAGTGATTACAAAGAGAATCAAATTATTGATAAAAACAATAGTAGTATAAGATAAAAGATGAATATTTTGATGAATAGATAGATGTTCTTACCTTCCTGATTATGTTTCTTCTTAAAGGTTTCTGAGGGTTACAGTACCCGCATCGTTATTCTTTACAAATCTATCGTGTCCTATCGTGCGTGTATCCTATCGTATCGTGCGTGTATCCTATCGTATCGTGCGTGTATCCTATCGTATCCTATCGTATCGTGTTTTCCGTTTATCAGGTTTTCCGTTTTCTATCGTGTTTTGCGTTTATCGTGTTTTGCGTTTATCGTGTAGATCGTTTATCAGGTTCTATCGTGTATCGTGTTTTGCGTTTATCGTGCATATTCGGAAACCCTCGCTTTTTATCTTTACTATAGGAAGAAACTACCGAGGTATTCCGAGTTTTTTTTTCGTTTTGTGAACTGAAATAAGATTATTTTAAGCAAGAAAGAGAAAAAAATGTTTTATTCCTCAGTATTTCACAAATTAAAAGAAATATTAAAGCGGTGAAGGTACAGAATAAATAATAATTGAAGTAATTAATTAATTGATAATAAAGTAATGAAATAATCATGGTCAAGCAAGGAGTTTATCAAAATTGAAACCATTTTGAGAATGAAATGATCAAACCCCTGACTTTTTTTTTTATTATAGAATTGTATGATTTTTATGGGGTCAAAATGAAATATTATTTTGATTTTCTTAAATTTGTCAGAGTTCCTAAAGGAAGATTTTCGGTAAGCCAAGATGTATGCGTACAAATAAATAAATAAATAAATAAATAATAAATAAATAAACAAATAAATAAATATATGAATGAATGAATGAACGAATAGGAATGGACTGATATGCATCTTTTTTGAAAATGTAATATTCATTTTTCCCCAGATTTTTCGGTCTGATTATCATCCCAATTTATCAAACCATAAACGTTACTATAAGATAGAAATTTTTCATTAATTTAATCTGGCATTAGATAATCTAAAAATAATTTATACAGAAAAAATAAACCATGATGACTTTCAACGTCTTACCTTTTCTGCGTTAAAATCAACTAAAAATACAATACATCTGAGTGTCAATTCGAAGAGTTCCCTTACCCGAAAACTGACACGTATATGTTCCTCTCTAATCAGTACACTGTCTTTCCGTGCGGTCAACATTCCCGCCCCCGTCTCCCCTAAATGACACCCCGGGCCGTATGTGTTCACAGTCAACATACCTGACAGGTACTGCTTTCCCACCTGGTGTCAAATAGTAACCTTGAATACTACCTGGTACTAATGAAACGCATCAATTTATTTTCGAGACTCTGTTTATAACTTATCTAAACAATGCTAATTCAAGATTTCAATATTAGAAAATTCATATAAATCAATTTAAAGAAATAAAGCCCCTAAATTCAATCCCAGATTTATTTTAATTGTACAATGATTCCATAATGTTTGAGTAAATATCTCTTTAAATGATTTTAAAAAATACACTTATGGCAAATGTACTTTCGGATCATCGGGCTTTCTTTGTAATACTGATAGAACTCTCGGAAACAATTTCATTGATCGTAGAAACGCGGCTGGAATATTTCTTACATTCTAAACTATGAATTCAAAATTATTTCGCATTATTTTTTAACGATGTTTTACTATAATTATAAAACAAAAGATGTCGTCTGATTCCGCCGTGACCATGCAATAGAAGTAATTTCACCGAATCAATTTATAGTATAATCGATTTCATTCCATACGTATATAACTTTATTTAAAAAATCAATATTATTTTTGAGTATTTTGTTAGATCTTGTTTCTCAACTTTGAATTGGTTACGGACTTTCAAAATCCCGCCCTTCGAATAAGCTTCATATGAGATTACCGGGTAACTCTAAAATAATTTTCAGGGTTTAATAATTTATTTGCGAACTTAAACCTATTTTTGTTATCATTAGAAACAGTGCACGCAAAATTTAATAGCAATGATTTAAAACAATTTAATCGGAAAAGTAGTATTTTACTCTTTCAATATTTTTTAAAATTATTTTTTGTGTTTTTATTGTAAAGAAAAAGTATTTAGTCGTTCAATGTTCGTTAATTAATACGCGATTTGAAGTATCTGATATATAAATGTTCATATGTACAGAGGCTTTATGTAAATTAACGTACATGTACACGTGCAGTTGTGGCAGATTCATATTGACACAGTTTACATGTATTAATGCAGAGCGCCGTTAAATTAACAATTATTTAGATTTGTTTTCAGGAAATTAATTTTCTTGAACTACATGTATATAGTTTTTGATAGATCGATCATGTCAAATTTATTTATTTTGTTAATGCCGATTTCTTTGAAAATTTCTTTCGGCCGGTCTTCTACATTTATATTTTTTTTATAAGATGTTTATATTTAATTGAGATTTTTGGATACACCGCAGATGTTAGCTTTAGACATTAAACATATATTTAATTTATGGCGTAAATTTCTTCCAAGAAACAACTTAGTACATGTAGATAAATTCATTTGGTACAAATATATTTTTTTCATAAATAATAAATCTTTTTTATAGAGTTTCATAGATTTATAATAATACCCGTGAGAAACGGCACATAATTAAGTAAGTTTTTTTTTTTTTTTTGCAGTAATTACATGTATGTTAAAATATCCAGAATTTAACGATTCATAGTTCAACCTTAAGATGAGAAATTTACCATTTGCACAAATAATCGTAAATTCATACCTTGAAGTAGAAATTCAAAAAAAAAAAAAATGCAGTCTCCATTTCATAATAATCCATTTAATCATTGTCATTTTTTTAA